AATTTTAGGTACTTTGGCTTTATAGTGTTACTTACAAAGATGCTTGTTGAGGAACCATTTGAAAATTAGCAGTAATATAAATTTTATTACAGTTACTGCTTTTATTTTCTAGTAAGGTCACATTTGGACATCTGTAATTACAAAAATCAACACGTTAAAACCCACACATTCTTTTTAAAATATTGGTGATCATTGAATTCTAGTAAACTTTTCTATTTATGATTACTAAATACAATCTTAATTTAATAACAATATCACATGACCACCATTCATTAATACAGAATTTTAAGATTGAAAAGTTTAAAAACGATTATAATTATAATTTTTAAAAAAGGAAAAGAATTCTTGTCAAAATTATTTATTCATCTAAAAAAATTTTTGTCTTTAAGATAATAATGTTGATAATATATTTTATACATGGAACCAATTAAAAGCTTTCCTAATTAATGTCTTAGTTTTATTGTCTTTTATTTTACAATACAGAGCAGATTTCTGTTAACTAGGGTGGGGGTTTTGTTTACCAGCCCCCCCCCCAAAAAAAATTCATGATAACTTAAAAACATTAAGCACTACAAAAAAAGGTGGGAATTAACTGTGGTAAAAAAAAATAAGTGAATAAGTCTTGAAAGTTTCATTAAAATTCAACAATTTGATTTATTTTTTTTATTTTTTTTTTTTTTCAAGAATTTCCAAATCAGTATCTATTACACATTAAAAAGACGCTGAAATTTTCTGTACTAATTTATGCTCAGCTGCTAATGTCAGAAAAACAGGATTTTTAACTAAAATTTTAAAAGGAACAAAAAAATACTGTTTAATAATCAAAAAATTGTTTGGTTTTTCCTCTTAAAGATACCAAAATGATTTTAATGACAAAACTTTGTTTTTAACTTTTGAGCATTTTTTTCATTTTGTATGCTCACTTTTTTGCAACTGTTTGGAAATACTTAATGAAAGTTGTCAATCATATGTCTGACCATATATCAGTATATTTGATTTGGATGTTTATTGGCTTTATGTAATGATAAAAGAAAATGCACAAGGTATTGAAAAATACAAAATAAATCTTTGTAAATCAAATATAATACAGAAGGATAATGTGAAAATCAAAGTTTCATGAGTTTACAAGTCCTTGCACATAAAAGAAAGAGTCCAGGAGGCAGTAAATATATATGTAGACAATTGTATATATCCAAATGTAGTAGCTCACACTTGACCATATGGTGAAGGAAGGTATGTTTGTTTTCAATGAAGCAAGAAAAAGTTTAGCCATGCAAGGTCATCAGCATATGTCATATTTCATCTCCAGGTATGTTAGGATGACCACAACATGAGAGAATGAACAAAATTAATTTATCTGCCTTGATTTTTGTTGATTTTCCATCTCTTTATGTACACATCTATAGATCCACTTTGGAAAGATTGTTTGCTTCCCATTGATTTGTAGCCTTATATTTTTAGAAATGGGGAAAATTTTGGTCTCTTTGTTATTTGTTAATTTCTTGACTTACATCTTAGTTGTGAAAGCTTTCTGATGGGTTGGTCGAACTACGGCTTTGTTTGCCTGGCAATTTTTATTATCTATTTTTTAGAGATGAAGTTTTGGTCTTGTTTTATTTTTATTTATTTATTTCTCTATTACCACATTATCAGTTCTAAGAGGAATTGTCATATAACAATGCTAATCTTGCAAGCCAGTACTAACTGGTATGTTAATGCAGACATCTTGATTGTAGCTTTCTACGAAAAGTTTGGAAATGAAATGACTTGTTTGAAATATTTTGATAATTTTTTTTTTTTTTTTCTTACAAGTATTTTTGTTTTAAACTTTGTCATAAACCATGAATTTCAAATTTTAATTTGGGATAAGGAAGTTCGTTTGACTAAAATTCTAATTTGCATTCCATACTAACAGAATGTCATCTTTGGTAGATGATACCATAAGCACTAGTGCAACCAAAATTGTAATGATTAGACATCAATCTCAGCTTCAGTTTTTAGCTGCCATCTTTTCTTAATTTTATGCTTTTTTGATCATGACCTACAAACAGAAATAATGTTTTGGGATTCATAGTTGAAGTTGCTTAACATAACAAATATTCTGATTAATTTTTTTTCATCTATTTTTTTTTTTTTTTTATTTAATTTATTCTTAAGCTGATGCATTCTTCGAGTGTTAAACTGAATTGACTTGTCAAATATTAATTATTAATTTGCATTTCTTCCATTTAATTTCACTTGCTTTTTATTACATTTTCTTAGATTGTTATTCTGTCCCAACTGAAGTTTAAAAGATAAACTAGTCATAAATTAACAATTGAAATAAATTAATATTGAAAAAAATATCAAAATAATATTACATCTAATACAGTGGTGGAAATAAGAATAAGACACCCCATGAAATTGTTAATAATTTTCTTATTACTGCACAAATTCCTCTGAAAATTTGTTTGTGGGACCTAGATCTGATGGTATTAGTATACATATTTGGTTTTATAACAACTTTCCGCCAAAAAAAGTTATTAAGAAAAATAAGTTTTTGAGGGTGGAAATAAGCATAAGACAGTTTGGAAAATTTGTATTTAACAGCAAAATTGTACAAAATTCAATATTTACATTTATTCCCTTTCAATTGTAATACTTTAACACACCTGTTTTGCACAGAATCAATAAGTTTTCTGAGAGTTTCAGGTGGAATTTCATTCCAATACTGTCTAATGCAAGATTTTAAAGTTTCTGTATCTTCAAATTGATGTTTATTTTTGTACACTCTTCTTGACAAAATTCCCCGCAAAATTTCTATTGGGTTTAAATCTGGAGACTTAGTGGGCCAGTCGAAAACTTCAATATTTTTTTTGTTTTAAACTAGCCTTTCATGAGCTTAGAAGTGTCCTGTTGAAAAATGGCATTATTGGTGTCTAGATGACTCATAAATGTGACAAGACCTTTTTCCAACACATTGATATATTGAGCAAAGTTTTGTTTCCCTTCCATCACTACTAAATCAGACACAGAAAAAGCTCCCAAAACCATAACAGATCCTCCTTGAAATGGTCTTTTTGAAAACAGCTGCTTCTCCTTTCTTAAATCATGCCAATAACACTGGTAGCCATCCGGCCCATCCAAATTAAAATTTTTCTCACCAGAAAACACCAGTTTCCCATTTCTCCTTTGTACATGTTACTTTTTTTCTTTACTCAATCTATGCGCATCTTCTTGTGTTTAGCAGTTAAAGCAGGGACTGTCGTCATCTTGTTTTCATACACAAGATTTGAGGGATTCATGGAGAAGTTGACAAACTTCTCTTGGAGTGATGGGTAAATTCTAAGATTTTTGTAGATCTCTTGAACTTGATTATCCTTTAGAAGCTTCTCGAAAAAGTTGATGTTTGGCTGCATTTGTAATTTAAAGTGGACAACTAGACATTTTCTGGTGCCATACGATTCACTCTCCTTTAGATAATTTCTCACAACTGTTCAGTACTTTGACAGTTCTCTTGCAATGAAACTTATAGATTTTCCTTCTGGTTTATTGGCAGAAATTTGCCCTTTTTCATTTTAATTAAGGGGGGAGTTCCTAGGCATTTTTCAGTAACTGTATTTAATTATGAAATGTTTAAATAGGACTCACATGGATTAAAATCATGGTAATAGTTTTTTTTTTTTTTTTATAACCTGCGCATGCACTTATTCTTCCTTTGACATTCTGAAGTAAATCAGATATGCAAATTTTCAAAACTGTCTTATAATCATTTCCACCTTTGAACATGAAGTCTTATTAATAACTTTTTTGGTGGAAAGTTGTTATAAAATTGAATATGCATACTAATACCCATCAGATGTAGGTACCACATATAAATTTTCAGAGGAATTTGTGGAGTAATAAGAAAATTATTAACAATTTCATGTGTCTTGTACTTATTGCCATCACTGTATTTCTCTTATGTGTCAAATACCTTCAGGACGTTGGTGATCATGGCTTTCCACGATTTCTTTTCCTTTGTAGCTCTTAGTAAATTTTGTTTTTATGCTATCTCCTAAATCCTTTCCTGACATCCATTTGCCTAAGCTTGTTTGGTAGGCTATGCTCTGTTTTCCTATATTCCTCGTCTCTTCAATATGGCCTTCTCAGTGTCAAATTTTCCAAGCTCTCTTTTCTCATTATTTGCCCTAGAAATTTCAACACTTTATTTCTGATTCTAATTAAAAGTGTCCTTTCCATTTTCTCCAAAACTGGTCAGTCTATGGTATTCTCAGCATCTTTCTGTAGAACCACATTTCTAGTGCTTCAGATCTCTTCATCTTTGAGGAAATTCTCCAGGATTCACTGCCTTATCAGAGGACTGATATTACAGTTAAAATAATTAACAAATAATTATTTTTTCTTTTATTTTCTTGAAATATATTTTCAAATTGAAGAGAGATTCTATTGAAAAATAGCTGCTAAACAAATCTGAAATTATAACATGAGTACTTCATTTATTTTTGTAAATTTTCATTCTTCCTTGAAATATTGTGATCATCAAAATATTTTTCCATTTGTCTGTTAAACAAATTTTTATCTATATCCATTTGACCAATCATATATGATTTTGTTTGATGAAATAGAAAATTAGCGTAGGTGTTTTTATCTTGATACTGAGAGATCCTGGCAAAAAACAAAAAAAAGCAAATTGACATTATTGAAAAATAAAATTTGTGATGTTGAATCTCCTCCGCATTATACCACCCTATTTTTATCAACCTCTACATTCTCAGGGTGGGGTGGTTTCCCCACCCTGAAACTACAACTGTTGCTTTTTGATGTTCACAAGAGAAAAAGAAGTCTTTCCTTGATATTGACACACAAGAAAGAAAAAGAAAGGTCCATGGCCACCCACTTGCCCTCCCCTACCCTGATATACCTACAGATATTTTTTTGGTCAGTCTACTAACTATGGCTATTTATTTCTCTATCTCTTATTTGACACAAGTTAAGATGTGGAGGTTGTTGAATAGGGAATGGCAGTGACATTGTTTTTTTTTCCCTTTCTGCTTCAAGCCCTGAAAGAACCAGCTTTTCTTGGAAAGAAACATTTTTATCTTGGCATTACTGACTTTTTCTTGAATGAAGAATTCCTTTCACTTCTTTTTGCATCTTCCCAACACGGTTACATTGTTTGCATCCATAAATATATTTTGGTCATCTTTTTCATATTTTTTGTTTACCCCTTATATTCCCTCTGCCCTTCTTGTTTCTCCATTTTCTTCTCTCTCTCTCTCTCTTTCTCTCTATCTCTATCCTCACTCCTCCCTCTATCTCTATCCTCACTCCTCCCTCTATCTCTATCCTCACTCCTCCCTCTATCTCTATCCTCACTCCTCCCTCTGTCTCTATCCTCACTCCTCCCTCTATCTCTATCCTCCTCCTCTGTCTCTATCCTCCCCTCCCTCTGTCTCTATCCTCACTCCTCCCTCTGTCTCTATCCTCACTCCTCCCTCTGTCTCTATCCTCACTCCTCCCTCTGTCTCTATCCTCACTCCTCCCTCTGTCTCTATCCTCACTCCTCCCTCTGTCTCTCCTCCCCCTCCCTCTGTCTCTATCCTCCTCCTCCCTCTGTCTCTGTCCTCCTCCTCCCTCTGTCTCTGTCCTCCTCCTCCCTCTGTCTCTCCTCCTCCCTCCCTCTGTCTCTATCCCCTCTGTCTCTCCCCCTGTCTCTGTCCTCCCTCCTCCCTCTGTCTCTGTCCTCCTCCCCCTCTGTCTCTGTCTTCACTCCTCCCTCTGTCTCTGTCTTCACTCCTCCCTCTGTCTCTGTCTTCACTCCTCCCTCTGTCTCTGTCTTCACTCCTCCCTCTGTCTCTGTCTTCACTCCTCCCTCTGTCTCTGTCTTCACTCCTCCCTCTGTCTCTTCTGTCTCTGTCTTCACTCTTCTGTCTCTGTCTTCACTCTTCTGTCTCTGTCTTCACTCTTCTGTCTCTGTCTTCACTCTTCTGTCTCTGTCTTCACTCCTCTGTCTCTGTCTTCACTCCTCCCTCTGTCTCTGTCTTCACTCTTCTGTCTCTGTCTTCACTCTTCTGTCTCTGTCTTCACTCTTCTGTCTCTGTCTTCACTCTTCTGTCTCTGTCTTCACTCTTCTGTCTCTGTCTTCACTCTTCTGTCTCTGTCTTCACTCTTCTGTCTCTGTCTTCACTCTTCTGTCTCTGTCTTCACTCTTCTGTCTCTGTCTTCACTCTTCTGTCATAGTTTTGACTTAAATATTGTCTTCTTCATGACCATTAGAAATTACCCCCCCCATTCTTCTTTTCCTTTGATTTTTCTTTCTTCCTTTTATTTATTTTCAGAATTTACTTCTGTTTGTTTTCCCTTCTTTTGTTGTTGATCACATCATTATTTTTGTTATTTATCTTTTATATGTTTTTTTTTCTCTTTGAGATGATTAATTATTTGTCACTTGACTATTTAAAAGGGGGTGCTGAAAACTTTCCTGATCTGGAGAAGTCCACACCCAATCCTCTTATATTTGGTCAGATTTTATGAAGTATATAGCTTTCTCACTGCCAAGAGCTTTTCAGCACCTGCTCTCTCTGCAGCAATAATACTATTCTGTTTTCTCTCTCTCTCTCTCTGATTATTATTATTAGTCGTAGTAGTAGTAGTCATCTGCTTCTTGCAACTGTTTCTCATCCCTGGTAGGAAAATGTGACAAGATAAAGCTGACTAATACATTTCATGCTTCCCTACATCAGATGACCGTCTACCCCTCCCCTTTTACACATCTTCCTCATTTCTCCCCTCATACACCTTCCCTCCCAGAGTCAATGGTTACTGGATGATTAAGGTAGGAAAGACATGGCAATTTCTGTGATAGATATCACTGTTTTCACAAAGAAGATGACATTGTCTTTAGTGAAGTAAGACCCTCTCCCTTCCAAAGAAAAAAAAAACAATCCAATGGAGATGTGGTGTGTGTGAAATAATAGAAACTTTCTGGTATTTGGTGATGCTCAGTTGTATGTCCCTAAGACTTGAGCAAGGGGGCCTTCTCCAGCCTCAATTAACAAAACATGGATTTACATTCACATAAGCTTGTGAGACTGTAAGGTGCTTATACAACTACGTTAACAATTTCAAAAACTAAATTATTTTACTACGAAAAGTGAACTAATTTAGTTTTTGAAATTCGTAAACTGACATCTTGACTGTTCAAATAAGACTTCAAATGTAACAAGTAGTGACCTCTCTAGAAAACTGGACCAAATTTGGCATTGTGGTACCAACAAGAAAAGTGTTTAGCCATCGAGGACATTCATGCCAACAAGGTTGTTGAATTAGGAGGTGATGCCTTAGCTTTACCAACAGTGCAAAAGTGGGCAGTTGATTTTAGGTGGGGAAGGGAGTCTTGAAAATATCCCAGTGTCTACCACTGAGGAAAACATAGTGTTCACCACATGCTGGTTGATGACAGATGATTGACTAAAAAAACAAATAGACAATGCTAGTAGCATAACCATAAGAGAGTTGAGAATATTCTGCATAATGAACTTGGAATGACAAAGGTTTCTTCTCGGTGGCTTCTATGTTGTTACAGTGGAACACACCTATTCTATAGTTAATAGACTCCCCCACCTATAATAAGTAGGAGTAGTAAGAGTAACGAGGAGTCGCTCAGTGGGTCGGTCAGTCAGTTGATGCCGGACAACCGTTAGTCGGATACTAAAGTATCAGCGACCACAACTAGATTTTCTCTGCATCATACCTATTATATGAAGTTCCTAACGTTTTTGTATGTTGAACCTATTTCAGGACCAACTTCGTACAAATACAAGCCTCCACTGTGAAATCACTCCATAACACATGTCTTCTGACATCTGATCAAAAGCATTCAGGCTAATCACATCACAGGAAAATCTGACATTGTTTGAGGCAGATCCAGCTAGTTTCCTTGAGCATTTCCTAACCCAGGATGATTGTTGGGTTCATCACTTTGAGCCAGAGACAAGCCATCCAGTGGAAACCTCCTCTTGACCTGCTCCAAAGAAAATCAATGTCATTTCATCTGTAGAGGTGATTGCCTCAGTTTTTGGGGATGCAAAAGACATTGTGTTGACTATCTTCCAAAGGATTCACACCGTCAATGGAGTGTACTATGTCAACTTGCTGATGCAGGTTATACCTAAGAAAACTGACAAAAGATGTTTTGTTTTATCAGGACAATGCTCCAGTATACATCTTTGGTTTCAATGGCTGCTGTGTGTGACTGTGGCTTTGAACTGTTAGATCTTTCTTTATATGTGCCATGTCCTTTCAGGATGTAGGCAATCATGGCTCTTCACCTCCCTCTATCCCTTGCAGCTCTCAAGAAGTTTCTTCCCCAGACTATGTTCCATCATCCACCTGCTCAAGCTCACCAGGTATGTCATGTGCTGCTTTCCCTTGTCTCTCTTTCGCTCTTTTTGACTCATGAGTATCAGATTCTCCAGGCCCTCTTTCCTCATTATGTGTCCCAGAAACTTCAGCTGCCTTTTCCTGATGTTAGTGTAAGTCTTCTCTTTGTTGGCCTCCTCTCTAAGACCTCATCATTGCTCACACGCTCGGTCTATGATATCATTAGCATCCCTCTGTAGAACCACATCTCCATCACCTCGAATCTCTTCCTCATCTTTAAGGAAATTATCCAACATTCGTTGCCATAAAGGAAGATAGATATCACATAACAGCTCAGTATTGTTTTCTTTGTTACCAAATTAATCCTCCTGTCTTGCAATACTCTGCCTAGCTTTTGGGACGTGTCCTTGGCCATCCCACTATGTCTACAAATCTCAGTGTCGCACTTACCATTCTCTGTCAAGACACTTCCCAGATATTTAAACTTCTGCGTCTGCTTGATTCTACTGTTCCCAACCTGCAAATTGCATTTCAGGTTCTTCCTATTACTGATGACCATGCATTCTGTCTCCGTCGCTACTTTCTGTAGGAGATTTTGTAATGATCACCCTCCCGATTCTTCTGATATGACTATCATCTGTTCCTCGATATGAAAAAAAAAAAAAAATAACACTTGGCTGGGAACCTGTATTGCATCAGTGTTGACGACATATCTGCTAGTGACGACTTTTTTCAACAACAGTTTAAACGGTCGTCTTTGAACAGTCAGATGAGCAGTTTACTCAGAAATAAACAATGCAGTTATAAATAAGAGTTCAAATTAATGCATGCAAGACTTCACAGCTCTTGTATAACTCCTTTATAGTCATTCTATGCACTTTTCTGCCCACCCTCATATGTGCAGTTTTTATCTATCTCTTCATTTTCTTTTGTTACCTTAGCAATATGGATGTATATGTGTAGCATCATGGTTATTGACACAGTGGGATCAACATATAAAGTACAAATTCCAGTCAAAGTTACGCTCACTTTTTTGCAAATACCCTTGAGTAGGGTATTGGGTATACATTCATCTCTTCTCCGACATTTATGAGTTAAATAACTAGACAGACTTAGCTCTCTAGCCTTGGTTGGCAACCAGTCTAGTAGGAGGATGTTTCTAAATTGGAAACCTGTGATGATGCTGGAATCATCACAATGCCCTGCTTGCTCAGATTAGCAACATAACTTAAACAATAAAATGCTATGATCAGAAGAGCCAAATTGGTATCTGATAGTCCAGTCACTCAAGATGACTTTAGTAATAAATAAATAGACATGAACTTAGAAATAAATTGAATTTTAAAATGGTAAATAAAAATTTTTAATGTTGACTCATTTAAAAAAAAAAAAAAAAAAAGCAATCGTTTATCTGAACTTTTATAGAACTTAAAGATTATCCATTGTCTGACAAAAGATTATCCATTGACTGACAAAAGATTATCCATTGACTGATTTCTCAAACTTAGCAGGGCAGCCAGTCTTAAAATAAAATAATTTTGAAGGATGATGAAAATGAGATTTTATGGAAAATGTCAGCAAAAAGGTCTCTTAGAATCAAAAAGAAACAGTTGAAATTTCTAGTAAACATGAGGAAAGAAGGCTTAGAATATTTGACACTCACAGGGCATATTGAATGATGGGGGAAAAGCAGCCAATAACCTACTTAATGAATTTGGCAGAAGGAGGATTGAGATAGCTAAAAAATATACTTTTGCTAAAAGCTACAAATAGCAGGAAGTTGTGGAGAACCAGGATTGCCGAACAGGGATTAGGAGAGGTGATCTTTTAAGCATAGCTTAGATGTGGCACAAGGCCAAAGTTATGGGACATCTAGTGAGGATCAATCTCACTACTCAGTTGTAATTGTTCTAGTGGCACAAGCCTACTAACCATTATACCACATTAAAATGCCCTAGTGATTTTCTAAGTGTAGCTTAGATGTGACAAAAGGCAAAAAGTGTGGAGCACCCAGTTAGAATCAAACTCACTACTAAGCCATAAAGGATCTAGTGAAACATGCTTGCTAACCATTACACTACCTCAAAGTGCCTTAGTGATTTTCCAAGCATAGTTTAGATGTGGCACAAGGCCGAAAGTATGGGGGCAACCAGTGAGGATTACACTCACTACTCAATTGTAATTGTTCTAATGAGATAAGCTTGCTAACCATTACACTACCTCGAAGTGCCCAAAACAGGAATTAGGAGGGATTGCAAAAAAAAAAAATATACCTTACTAAGAGCTGCAAGAGACAGGAAATTGTGGAGCATCATGTCTATTCACAAAAAAAGTAACTGCATGGCATTAAAAAAATAACTTCTCATTTCAATTGAGTGACACCATTTTTTAATGATTGTATTCTGTAACCTTATTCAGGTTCTTGACATATTTGGTAGCCTTCTGGAGAAGTAAAACAGGCACCGGAAGGAAGCTGTACAGGTTACAGATATTAAAATGTTATGACTCCAAAAGTCAAGAATGGGATATAACTTGGGAGAAATCAGCAAATATTTATGATATTTCAAATGGAAATGATTTAAGAATAAGCAACTTGTATTAAATGATAGAAGTACATATAGCCATAGCAGGATATGACAACACAACTTTGAAATTCAAACAAACCCAGGGATCAGAGTCACCTTCAGTGGCAAGATAAACATTTTGGACAGCAAATGAAGTCACATACAGAGTGATAAAGGTTACAGAGCTTTTGAGAAGTTGGCAGTGAAAATGAAAAGAATAAAAACAAATAACTTTTAATAAGTTTAATACATTAAGCACACATTGTTGACCAAACAAAATAGTTCTAACCATTTAGTTACGGCTA